CCGAGATTTCAGCAAGCCGTTGCTGGTAACTGTAGCCGCGATCCTTTCAACCTGCCATATGTCACGTACATCGAACGCCTCGCTTCGGCGCTTTCGAAGCGTAATCCCCGGAGTATATAGCTCGTCCGAACGAGTCAATTTTTGCGACAAAAGTCCGGTCGAACAACACACGGCCTGGCCCAGTGAAATGTAACCCTTACAGTGGCCCAAATTACTCTTTTCGGGAACAAAAACTGCATATTTTCACTATTCGCGGCACATTGCATTCGATCCGTCCGAAAAAAAAGCCTAGATACCGTTGCTCCAACTCCAGTAGGTCTGGTTGCAATTTAGATACTGTTTATCACGCAATACGGTTTGCAATATAATATGTTTTCACGTTTAATCTCTCAAATATTGCAATATATAGTTTATCACCGCAGCCAATATTGCACTCTGCGTCAGTAAAATATAAGCTACTTCCAATAAATGGTACACCTAAACTATGTATGCCTATAGCGGCTTCATAACTAGGTTTTATAGCTACGTATATAAAGCATCATCTGGCCGATTGATATCATTCCATTGGCCATTAGTACTTGGAATAAAACTTGACGTTGAAATGGCGAAACTATACGTAAAGAAAATAAAGGGTACGATCGAACGATTTTTGGTTATTCTCATGAAGCATTTTACACGAATGTGTACCGCTATTTACTACTTCGATGGCAGCCGTTACACGTTGTCACGTCGTAAGCTGCAGAATTGCTATACGTGCGCCAGCTTCTTCATCTAATCCTCTTTGAACGGCACTATACGAAACGAGACAAAAACCCGCGCTTCTTTGTTCCGGCACGTTGTTCTCGCACAACGAGCGGGAGTTACAACGTTGTAACCGCAGGACACGCCAGGTGCACCTATACGTGCGCGCCAGTACTAGCGTGCATCCGCTTCACGGGTCGTAGGTCATAACTTTGCGAGGCATCGCGTAGGTACTACAACATCGCAGTTGCCCGTATCCGTGCGCGGCGATTTTTGGTCCCGATGTTTTATCGACAAGCCCGTCCGTTATTTATTATTCCCCCGTTATTGATCAACGCGAATCACCGTGGCACCCTTGTAAAACTCGGTCGCGGAATATGGAAACGCTCGTCGCGACGATGACAAATTATTTCGGTACAAAACGGCTGCGCTTTACCGTTAACTGCATCGAGTTAATCAAGATATACAACGGGCGGCAGAATTGCAAAATTTATTAAATTTTCTACAACACTAATAGGAATTGTTCTAGATTTACAAGTACTGGGATCTTCAGAAATATATTTCTGGTTTAAACGAACGGGCGAAACTTTATCAATTTCCTGATATATCGAACATGACGCGTTTAATCGACGCGATTGAAGATCGCGTAGAACCGACATTTTCAACATTGCCCATTATCGGAGCATTTCATTATTTGGCATCTTATCATCGTCTCTCTCTCGGCAAGCATCAGCAACATCACTTTGCTTCCAATAATACTTAATCTGATGTCTCGCGACACTTACAAACGGGATGGGAAATGACAATTTTCTCCGTTATGGAAAAATTCTCATTTCCTCTCGATCTACTACCGAAACTGCTCCCTGGTCGTGACCTATCGCCTCCGATTGCGACTGAATAGTAACACGCGCGTGTCGGTGTTTCGCTCGCGAACTGTTCCGATACGTGGGTCTCAAAGTACAGATGCCTTTGTCATCGCACTGCGACAGCGCACGCGACAGTCAATCGGTTTTTATAAAATACAATTTGTCAACTTGATACGAATTACGCTGGCACACCTAAAGGGAAATCACGCTGACGCTTGCATGCGCATCTTCGCGAGCGCTGGACCGTTACTCGTATCGATTGCCTATGTTCAGTCTGTTATTAAATGGATCGGGCCGTACGTCCAAGCAAATTGATTCATTTGTCGTTAATAACGTAGCAGAAAGGAAAAAAAATAATAATGTGTCACAACCGATACCGCTTCTGATTTTTTTCTATTATATGAAATATAATTGTATATATGAGCACTCGTGCTAACTAAATTTAAATAGTATCTGTGTGATTGAAAATCGATCGAAATTTATTATTACATTCCAAATCAATAATTTTACAATGTTTTATATTGCTATAAATCCCCTGAAGAAATTTAAGTTATAAAATTCAGACAATTTTTCATTTTAATAGGTAAAAATAAAACATTGGCTTTTTTTATCGTGAATATTGGATAATTATTTACTTTCCTCATTATGTCATTATTCCTGTTATGTTCCTCATATTAAAATTTAAAGGATGTCTTTATATTAGGATACGGTCTGTTTGAAAAAAAGATATTTTCTTTCAATGAAGATGAATATTGAATTAGTAAGCGTACAAATGGGAAACGCATTGACCTTATTACGAAGATTTATGCGAAGGAGAAAAGATAAGATAAACATTTTGGAATTAAAAGTAATATTCAAATATCAAAACAGAGAAAATCCCGAATAATCACGACCACATTACAGTTAATCGTCTGCGGATACAAAATTTATGGATATATCTTCGTAACACAAAGTTCTTTTTACGTCGTTTTAACTGTTTAACTGAGAAGTAGCTTTTCTCCGCTGCCACGTACGAGTACTTGGAATACAAATGTTGTTTGGAACCACTTATGTAAAGAGTACTAATATCCAACGAGGTCAAAAGCCTCAGCATTCATATCCCGGCCTAGGCAGTCCTTCATAAATAAACTACAGCTTGCATTATGCGAATGTAGCTTGCAAATATACATATAGCGCTCGATGCAATTCTTATCTTTTCTCCTTTGCATAAATCCTCGTAATAAGATTAATGCGTTTCCCGTTCGTACGCTTACTAATTCGATATTCACCTTTTTGAAAGAAAATATCCGTATTTTCCAAACAGACTGCGTCCTCGTATAAAGACATTTAAATTTTAATATGAACATAAGAGGAATAAGCTATTTTCTTGTAAAACGGGAGACTGATTTAAATTATTTTTACAAGATAGAAAATTAGTTGATATGATTTCTCTATTATAATTGTAAACCCTTTCCTCTAGTACATTGTGCTTTTTATAGAACTTTATTTTAAATACTATTAAATAGTATTTAAGGAATTCAAATCGGCAGGAAAATCAACTTGTTTCAACGGCAAACTTTACGTACAAAGTTCCAATCTTATTCAAATGTTTAGCTACCACGGGTTAACTGCTAATAAAGTTCATATAATCTCGCAAAAACTAAACTAAATATTATGCACTTTCTGAATATTTTGTCGACTTCTACATGTACCTACATTTCTACAACAAAAGCACACAAAATAACTTTTAATATTCCCAGAGATATCTTGAACTTTAGAATCTTCATATTTTCATTATGTTACGTTTGCGTTGACGTAGCGGTAGCACTGCTGCGGCTTAAATGTATATTAAATATTTCATTTAAAGCAGTTTTTTTAAAAGCAACTGAAAGTGGATTGCCAGTTTTAAAAAACATATATTTACTATCATATTCTATATACGTGAATTAGTAATTTAAAGTAGAAACTTTATTATTAGACACGATGAAAAATTCTCCGAGATCGAAGAGTTTCTTTCCCACAAAATTAATTAACAACTATTAATATTAGAACACGTTTTATCACAGTTACGATGTAATTTATTGTGAGAGCAACAACAAAGATAATTTCTTAAATGGATACCTTCCGCGGAACTTCCGACATCGCCATTATGGCCACTGTGAATATCGACGGTAATTAGCGAGCAATCTAACGCTAATATCGGCGAAATGACCGTCGTCGGTGTGCGCAAACACGACGTAACGTTCCGTTCGCAAAACATACTCTGTCTGAACCGATCCGTGCGCAAAACAACCCAAAGGATAAAGGGCTAGAGCAAGCTCGCCCATTCCAGCCCTCCTCTATCCGCATGCTGCAGATTAATCTGTGATCTATGTCTTAGCTGTAGATCAGATACAAACTTGCGGGCTTATCTAGTTCCGCCGCCAATCGATAACTAAGTAGACGCTGGCGGCATCCGTCGAAACCTACCATTTGCCTCGATAACGTCAACACTAACGTCGGTTACAATGCATACTCGATGCATTGTTTGATATGAATCTGCCGTTATTCAGACAATAAGATCAACTCCCTTCGTAAAGCATTCGATGCAACGATAACAAAGACAAGTTTCACGGAATGCAAGTTATGGGAACAATTATGACTTTGTATATAAAAAGAATTTACTTTTTAGTCACATTTAAATGTGGTTTTTAAAGATATATTAACTGCTGCAAATACTTGGAAACAATGTTCAACTTTTGTTTTGCTCAATAATGTACGATTACACAAACTGAAACTTTATTTCCTCATAAACGGCTCGTAGATTTAATAATTACGATGGTGATTTGTATAAGAGTGATATGTAATTCGCGTTTGACTAAATATACTCTGCACCGTGAAATTTATGATTTTACTTTGTATGTTGCAATAACGTAACATATAAAAATAGCACTGCAATGCAATTGTAGTCTTTTGTTAGAATGCAATTAGCTAACAACTGTAGCTATCCCAGTGCTGTAATTTACAGAGCCACAGTCTTATATTTCTACGAAAATACAAGTTGTTGCAAAACAATCACATTCAACGCATTCAAAAATTAAATCGCGGAGCGAGAATATATATCTTTTATATTATTTGATAAACTGTCGTGACTCACCAAGCTGCGTTTATCTGCTGGCAAATGGTTCCAGATCTAAAAGCAGAAATGATCCTTATTAATTTTTATTACTTCAAAGTGTTCGACTGACTCGAAACGTTAGAAATACGAATATATAATAAGAGGCACACTGTGCGATTATTTCCGTTTAATCAAAATTCCGAGCCGGCAAAATGTTTAAAGCTTCATTCAGCTTAAAGCCGCTTAACAAGTTTCACGATTCATTTGTGGACATGCTAATTTCTGACGCTGACATTTCTGTGTTATGTGTCACGCAGGTACGTTCACTCGCGATCAGAGAGTTTTGAGCGGTAGTCTTGTTCAGGGGAGTCGCAACGTCAGCGGCGTGCCGGCTTTCGAAACGAATGTACCACGGAATGTCACTACCGCAGTCGGTCAGACCACCTTTCTTCACTGCAGAGTTCATCAGTTGGGCGACAAGGAGGTGAGTGACAACATAATTCCAGCATTTTGCGGCCTTTCCCTCCTTAAGACAACTCGCTAATTACGCCAACAAATCCGCGCACAGCAGCATTATAACGAAAGATTTGCTCGCACCTATAATCTTCATCTAATATTTCAGATGTAACAAAGACGTGAATGCTAAACGTTTTCATAAAAACTGCGAGATCTAACTTGCCAGAGAATTTGCTCACAAATTTTTCAGATAGATTAATATATATTTAATGTATATTTAATTTCAAAATGCTCGTGCAGCTCAACATGATTTGTGGCGAATGTTGCAAATTGCTACCAATAAATTGTTGTGACGTGAAAGGAACCAAGCGACATTATTAACTATTCCGTGTCGGAGCGGTAAATGTCAAACCCAGTATAAATCATTTTATTGAAGAGATTAGGATTTCATCAATCCCAGCGTAAAAAAGATATTGCGCTATTTTAAGAGTTAAATTGCCAGGTCTACTGAATTCAATAGCGGTACATGCGTTTACCGAGATGCGAAATATGCGAAATTAAAAAAACTTATTTGATTTCGAGAGTTCATAACTCTCTAGCCGCGGAACTTAAATGGAGCATAGATTTATTAAGGGGGGGGAAAAGAACTTTGTAATATTCTCGTCGCGTCAAAGGTAGAGCGGAGGTTGCTGTTGCGGTTACGGTTGCTTCATCGTTTTTCAAAATCCTCAATCTCGGGCATACCTCCATGTCAAGGCTATATAGATCCGAGTAGAGCTGTTGGGTTAACATTACCGCAAGGCTGGCCTGCGGTTTCTGGTTAGGTCGTTGATAGAATATGCATGACGCCTGTTTGAAGAGTTAAACCTGCTCAAAGGCGGATGAAGGGCGGCTATTATCTTTTCAGATTTTTGACTGAGACTGCGGATTTGATTGACGCTTAATTAAAATTGAAAAATTTGTCGTGCGCTTTATCGACAATTATCTTTGTGCTTGCGTCCGTGGTCTAGCGAGCATTATGCGTTTATTTACTCACGCGTACACAACTGTTGAATTTATCAACTTTTTAATAAAAGAGGCACGGTTATTCAAAAATAGCAAACTAATAGAGCACACCATGCAACATATGTCGATCGTACGAATTTTAGCGTAATTCTCCTATGCACCCCTTAATATTTAATCAAATCGCTCAATCTTCTAGTTACTGAGAGCAGAAGTTGCCGCAGCATGCGAAGATTTGATATTTCCTAAAGTTTCAGCCAATGCTTAGTTCATCGAGTACATATATGTACATATATACACACGACGTCCAAGAGTATATCGACATGACCTGTATAATAAGACTCGATATTACGTAATTCGATAAATACCAACGGTGGCTACGCGCACAGGGTTTCTCAAAGTTTCGAGGAATATTGCATAAGCGTCACGTGCTTGAGATACTAAAAATGTTCTTAAAAATCACTACTCCACTGAACATCGTAGCGATCGCGATCATTATATCCTTCCTAGAACTTCGCCTTGATTCAAGGATATACTCTTTCTTTTATGGCAGAACTGTTGCGAAACGTCTCACTTAATCATGAGAAGAGGCAGCTGGTCTGATTACTCGTTAACGATGCAATTATTTGCCGCTGGGTCAATAACGTGAGTTCCAGTTATTTCCGGAAAGAGAGGCGGAGACGAGGGATGTGTTTGATCACGCATCGCCGATAACTTGCAAACGCCATGACCGTATTTTCATTCTCGATAATTACTAACTGCAACCGAGTAGCGATGAGCTTTGCGCGAGTCACGCGCAGAATTGCACCCGGGTTGCTTAAAATGTAATATACGTTTTCCAAATTTGTGTCGCCGTTCAATATAAATCGCCGCGAAAATATATTAATTACGGATTCCTCTCGACCTAATGATGCTTCAACCGAAGAAGTACTCTTTTCTAAACAAAAGCACTATAAACATTATGAGAGATACGGCAATGGCATTATTACATTTCGCTGCACTGGTGCACCGAGAAGTATTATGCGTCGGAATCACAGCTGCTGCTTTTTCGCGAGAAAGAGAGAGAGAGAGAGAAAGACTGCTACTCTACGAGCGCAAAGCATCAGACAAATAACTCGCTGCTCGCGCGGGCTTTTCGTTTTATGACCAGACACACGGCGCTCTTATTAGAGAGGAGCAATTGTGTACGGATTACGGATCTAACGGAGATCAACTACGAAAATTCGCGCGGTTTCTCAACAATGTTGATTCGAGCCGACTTCAAAGTGAAGATAAACAAGGAAGGGCTTTGTCATCGCGCAGCGCAGAAAGACATTCGAATACTCTTCTCATAATGGCGGTTAGAGTGTAATAACTATACGAGAAAGTTGCAAGTTGTTTCTTTCAACAAGATTTCTATCATGTTATCTTGGTGCGTTCAAATGCATTTCCGAATAATTACTTTAATGTTGAATTTAATGTTGGATTAAAATGTAAACTATCAAAGAACTTGTAATAAGTAACTTTCGTGATAAAGAAATCAATAATCGAAAATAGAATAAAAAGTAAAATTTAAAGTTTTCGCCCTGTAATAAAATATATTAAGGGAATTTTTATATATGTATAAAATATTAAGATGTGTATAATTTACAAACTCTCGTAAAAATACTGCATGAATTTTGTTATCCATTTCCTATTAGTCCAAAATGGATTTTACGAATGTGTAACTTGTACGAGGTTTCTCCGTAAAGGACGAAAGATACAAGATTGCGGTTCGCACATTAAGCTTGAGAAAGTCAGCGGTTTGACCTGCAGAAAGTTGGCAGCGTGTATGGATTTATCACGAGGCAAATGTTTACAGTTGACGGAGCTAACCGAGGCATTTGCACGTCGGTCTTTTTCCCGACTTAGCGAAACTATTTACAACATATGCCAGACTATAAATTCGCGCAGTTTTCATTTCTCAACATAAATGTGTTCTTTATGCAACGTACGCTTGAAAGACGCGTAGAATATTTATTAAGCGCACTGTCAGATACCTTGCGAAAAAGCGTGCAGACAAAACCGACTTTATTTGAAAGTCAACACGTAAAAATGTTTGACATTATTTAAACAGAAATGTACGACATTAATAGTACACGCTTAAGGATTTTCTTTTCATTATGTTATCAAGATTAAATGCTTAAAGAAAATTTTAAACAAACTAAAGTTTTATATTGAAGCAGTTCCACGAAAAACGCAAAAAAAAGAGAAAAATTATTCATTACACGCGCACGACTCTTTTGCTTTAATCATCAGCTGAACCGCACGATTACAAAAGCTGCAGCATACGAAAATTACTTTGCAACTAATTGTACATTTATTATTTTCACTTTTGTAAATGTGTGATTCGCATTCACAAAAGCAAAAATAATAAAATTCACATTTTGTGAACTGTAAACGGACGTAATTGTAATTTAGTTGTATCGATGGAGAGATAATACAGGGAGCAACAGCATCGCAATGTCTCTGGTGATCATCAAAGTTGTAATCGTTCTCACCTGGCTCTACTGACATTCCCGGTGCACTTCGAAAGTTTACGAGTAGTATTTACGTTGACACATTGCGTCTGTGTTTCAATACAACTCGAAATCGGGATATTAACTATGTTTGCGCACGCACCAAGAGCAACTTGATACCGCCATATGCGGTTTATACGGGGTGTCCATCCGTAAAATGAGAACGCAACATTTGCATTGCTAATTTTGTGCGTGGCGTTACATAATGTGTCCGTTGACAAAGAACAATATCCCAAAAGAAAAAGACCAACACGTTTTTTATCGTACAGCGATTTTTATCGTGCCTCTACATACTTTCAGTTACGCTAAGAAAGTTAAGTAAAAATAAATATCTACTTAAAACTCTGAATTTCGCTAATCTCCAATCAAAACTTATCAAACAAATGTTTATTTAGAACTTTTATTGGTTCGAGATCCAAACAACGTCCAACAAATTCTCCTCAATCTTGATCACTTTTTGATCTGCTGCAAAGATATTTTCCGATAGTGATATTCTGTTCGTATGAATCAAGTGTTTGTTCGAGGACCGTTTTAGTTGAGGAGAACTTCCATGTTAATCTCTTTATTTCTTGTCAAGAGTCTCGAAAGTCTTCGGAATTTATACCGTATAATCCAATCGCGTAAACGACTCTCTCACCCGAATCGATACTCGAGGGAAGATGAATTCGAATGAATCTGCCTCCGCTTCGGGATTCCATACGATAAAGTTATTCCGGCAAGACATCACTATATCCAGAACGGCGGAAAAAAGTGGCGTGGTAATGCGATCGAGGAGAGGTCGGCGACTCTTCTCCCAGCTTGAATAAGTATCGCGCTAGGGAGCGGAAGTGTCGTTTATCCCTGTTTTCTAGCCTAAATCCCTCTGAAGATTTACGCGCGACCTTGCGAACAAGAAGGGAAGACTGGATTCCGACGTGAGCGATCAGCGTTGTTACGCGGCTTTGTTTGAATAGCAAAGCGGGACTGCCGCAGTCCAATGGATCTCTGTCGAAATCAGGAAATTTCTGAAAGTGAACGCGATATACCGAGCCTTATCGCCTCTCCCGTTTTTGTAAACGAGAATCTAATATGTTTTTGATAGTCCATTAAGGACGCTCTGCCTCGGAAATTTCGTTACTTTGAGTCGTGCGATGACCCTGGTCATTTTGCGGCTTCGTTAGCAAGCTCGTAAAGTATCGAAAGTGTAGTAGATTATTTTTATTGGTAGTTAAGTGATAACGCTAGTCTTCTAAAATTTATCAAGACTGCATTTATCAAGGATCCAGTAAAAGTATAATGCATAAGTGAATGAACTGTATATGCAATAAAATATGAGCACTAATCTTCTGTATTCTTTACTGTTAAACAATTTCACATTTTTACATTGTCAAAAGAAATAATAGATTAAAAATACGAATGTTCTGGTATTCAAAAAGAATAAGCTGTCGTAGCCAAATTAAACAAAAGAGATACTGTTGACAAAATGCGTTAGAAAAATGAAGAAAAAAAT